TATATGCAGGTATACGTCAGTCCACATTAGAACTGTCAACAGCTGTAGCTCTCTCTTATCTGTCTGTTTGTCATGGCTTTAAATTTTGATAAAATACCGTCGTGTACAAACTTTTGCATATGATGATGTGAAAAGTCTGCCCATAATAAAAGGCTAGATAAATTCTACTCAAACTACCAGATAATGTTAGAACTTTATATGTAATACTTAACTGAAGACAATTAGAATCGATAAATTAGCTCACATATTATATGTAGGCTTTTTATTATATCTCTTATACAAACACAAGTGAAAAGTACAAATTGTAAATATTTACTGAGATACAAGCTATTTTTCAATTTCAGTCTCCGATGCCTATCAATTAATTCCAATTCGATTTAAATTGATTGCCTTCTCTGCGAGAGCCAGATCCATTTCCATTTCAATGCACCAAAATGAAATTGGAACTTTTGAGCTGCTGTGCTCTCAGCGCGCCTCCCAATGCAATCTGCTCTCAGAGCGCATGCTGTTAGTTAACAGCTGGGCCAGCAGCTTCAATGCCAAAGCCAATATGCTCTTAGGTTTCATTTTAACGTCAATTATATCATATTATGGAAATATATTACTTAAATTGCAGGCTTATATTACATTTACTCCATATAACCATATTTGTTTACTTATTCAATACGCAGAACATAAATAAACACATTGTGTTGGTAGGTCAAATAATAGCCGTGAGTAATGGTAGTGAATAAATGGAAGCACCACCGTTAACAGTACCTTCTTCTGTAACTTGCCCGCTCTTTCGTCGCTTAACAGTGCTGGCAGTTAACTTAGCTATTTTTATCCATCCCGCTAGTGGTGTATACTTCGATATATAATAAACATTTTATATAGTTAAACAAGTATGAAATGAAAAACGAAATGCTGTTACATTACAAGAGAATTATCAACAACAATAAACGTTGCTCATTTTGTGACATAGTAGCTGAAATGTCGTTGCTCACAAATTTAGCCGAAGTTTTTAGCTGGCGTTTCGTTGCCTCTCGAAAATAGACGGCACTGCCGCTTGCTCTAAAGATCGGTTTGCTCCAATCAGACAGTCACGACAGCGCAGTCGCGCGAGAAACTTCGCTTTAAGTGCGCGGAAGGTTTTTTATGGTAGAGGTAAAACGAAACAGAAACAGAAACAACCAAGAGGCAAAGTAAAAAGCAAAAAAAAAAGCAAAAAAATGGTAGCCATAAAAACGCGTCGTACAAAGCACCGCCTCACACTGTAATATTTGCCATTAAAGTGGCTTTAAATGTTTAATTAAAAGTGTGTAATCCAAATGTGCGCTAAGCACAATGAGAATTCGCTCGTTTCGTTGGCTCAAAGGCTGTGCGAAAATTCAATTAAACGCGGACTCCGATGATGGCGTCAACGGCGCAGCAAGTTCAAGTGCAGAGTGATTGTGTTGTCGGTGCCAAGCAACAAGTTGCTTATAGAAATAACATAATAATCATAATCCTATTGTTTAATTAAAGTGAAATATACATAAAATATAAATATTTGTCGTACCTGCTTGACCGTTTGTGTGTTTATTTCTAGCGAAAAAACAAAATTGTCTGTGGCATTTTCTGCCTTTAACTCTTTTTCTTGTTCCCACACATACATACACACTTAAACACAAATACTTACACGCACGCATTCATATACATATAACATCACGCTGCCGCACACAGGCGCACAAATTGTAGTTGTTTCACTGCCTGATTCTTTGACTCACAAATTACCCGAGACGGCAACAGCGACGTCAGCAGAGTTAGCGGCAGCGAAATTGTTGTCTGTTCCACCATGCCATTGTTTCATATCTGGATTTCGCTTTCCATGCGCGTGCTTGAGTATTGAAATGTGCTCACAACGTGTTCCATTTTGCCAGCCGTTCCAACTCAGCGTCAACCCGGTGTTTGTTTTCTGATCAAGCAGCAGAACGGAAGAGCGCAAGAGAAACAACCACCTGTGCTGCTTCTCGCTCTCTCTCTCTCTCTCTCTCTCTCATGTGCTGCGATAAGGAATACACACATTGATAAAATGAGAAAAAAACGGGCTGCACTATCAAAATAAGTAAACAACAAACTAAAAGGCGTGTTAAATTAACCAAGCCACAACAAATGGCATGCAAACAAACAAGAAACTCATTAAGGCAATAGCTCTCTGCTGTTTAACGGTAGTTTCTTCTTCTCTCCCACTCGCTCGGTCGCCCCCTCGCTTCGCATTTGTATTTGTTTAAGTGTTTGTGTTTTTATGCTGTGCTTGACTTTTTTGTCATTTTTTATTTTTTACTACTCTCTGTGTTTATTTTGCTTTCGCAAACATCAATTTCAAGGCAGGTACGCTGCAGGTGTCAGTTCTTATATTTTGTTTCCCACCAAATTTTGCACCTCATATTTGTATAAAATGTTATTTATCCAGAAACCCACGAGCGCGCCTTTATTTTCAATAATTTCCGCGAAATATTACGAAATACTAGAATAAAGAGAGAAGCAAAAAACAAGTGAGAAAGTGAAAATAATGTCATTGAAATAATCATAAATAGAGTCTTACGACAAAGAGAAGTGGAATAAAGGCTATGTGATTCAGCAATTTAATACAATCAAATATTTGGAAATAATCGAATTACGTGTTTTCAACCCAACGAAACTCGGGATCTAACCCAATTTTTATTAAGAGCGACTTACGAAAATGGAACCAGCAATTTTAATTGGTAAGCAATGGTATTGCCATTCACTTTAAAAAGGCGAATATATCACTTCATATTATTATGAAAGCGAACATAGAATATTTTTAATAATATTATAAATTAAATATTAAATCCTTAGAATTTTATTTATCAATCTCTTGATATTTTTAAATAAAGAAAAATACAAAATTTAGAAATAAACAAATAATTGGATGTAAAAGTTGAAAAGATATATTTTTATATGAAATATGTAATAGTCAACTAAAAAATACACGGGGCTATATTTCACTATATCATAGGAAACAAATTAAAATAG